ACACAGCGGTGGTGTCTCTTACGGGCGACAGGGCAGATTGCCAAGGCGATGATGCGTGTTTCAACCAAAGTCCCCCCCTCCTCCCGGTATAGCCTCTAATAGACTGTTGGGGCAAGTGCTGTCATTGGTAAGCGAGCAGCTATCACGGCCGTGGACGGAGACGCAAGGGTGACGTCGGCTGCCAACACCACGCCTTTGTCTCCTCGGTTCTGATGTTTACACATCGCGCCAGGTACCCGCTTAAGGCTGAGTGGACCTAGCGGAGGCCCCAAGACCAGTTCGAATATTCGCTGTCGGTGTTGTTGCTGGTCGTGAGCGGGAATCGAAGTCGGGTCGCCGGATTTGGAGCGCAGTGCGCTAACCACTGCGCCACCGATCCCCCACACATATATACATACACAAATATATATATAAATTTAAAATGCTCTACATGTACTTCAAAAACAGAAAATGCACGGTACGGATTGTAGACTATGTTATGTCCAGTATATCAATGTTCATGGATTCATGTTCAGTTGTATATCGAGATGTAAACAGATATACATTTAAATGGCACAATGCAATGTTTGTGTACACGGTATTTATATATATGCAGGACCTACTCCCAGAGCATATTTGGGCTGTTTTATTTTGATACATACGTGGGTGTAGCATCACAATACATAACATTAACAAATATATTGCGGATTTTCGAAAATAGTTCTTGTAAGAATAATTGCAATTATGTCATAAAAAATAATTGCAATTATTAAAATAATTGCAATTATTTTTTAATATTAATAATGGTAATATTATGTTGATGTCGTATATACATATATACGAGAAGAGGCTACACCAGCCTGAGTTATAAAATAGCAAAGTTGTTATTTTGTATAGAGATGTTAATATTGTATCGCTCGTAATTAATTACTTTAGATTTTAACACGTTCAGAAGAAAATTCCGCGGATTGTTTAATTTAAACAATTACAATAATTAGAAAAACAATCCCCCGATTACAAACGACACTCTTTAATGATCGTTTTAATGAATGCGTAAACCATAGTGTGTAGGTTATAAGTAGGCGCAAAAGAAGATTAATTTACTCGTAAAATACAATAGCGAGAAATGTAATTGGTCTCGCCCGGTCTCCAATTAGGGATATCACTATCAACAAAATTTATTGACTAATCCACCCGTAATGTTTGATTCATCTCGACGTTGGATAATTGCTACACGGCATACAGGATTATGTATTTATCCCAAAATAATAACAAACGAAATAAATTATTCACAAAGAGGCGAGAGCTAATGGAAGACAGCGTGGCTATATGAGATGAAGTCAAATTGGTCAACAACACCGCCTGAAGAGAAAACGGATATCAGATTCGACGTTTCGGGGGATGCTCCTTCTACGCAGCACCGAGAGAGAGAGAGGCCAGAGTTTGTGTTGCGCCTTGCTTGTGCACCACTTTGCCGGCGCAGTCACACGATGCCTCATCTATTCAGATAGATCTCGGATCAGAATCAGAATATTTATTTGTACTGCAGGAATCCGATGAGCGATGTACATATCTTCCTTCCACAGGTGTCCAGGCGATCAACACGAGTGGGCGATTTAAACAAAGTATTCCAGAGAGCGCAATAATTTAATAACATGTATCATTGTCATCATCACTACCATCGGTAACTGTTCTCTATCCACTGCTGGATGAATAAGGCTCCCCCCCCCCCCGCCATACAAAGACCCCCCGTATAGCCTGTAACAGATTTCTCGGTCAAGTGCTGTTAGCGAGCACCTATGAAGGCCGGCACGGCACGCGAGGGTTGGGTGGCCAGCACCACGCCCGGCCGCCTTTGTCTCCTTAGTGGCGATGTTTACTACACACTACACCAGGTACTCATTTGAGGCTGAGTCGACCTAGGGGAGGCCCAGGACAGGTTCAGATAATTGTCACCGATGTTGGCCGTGAGCGGGAATCGCCAACATCGTAGCGCAGAAGCCCTAACCGCGACACCACCGCTCCCCACTCATCCAGACAGTCGCAAGCGACACAATCACACCAGCAACGAACGTAACAGCCCTTTGTCAATCCACTGCTGGATAATGGTTTCACCATTCCGGGGTTGTTTGGCCATACTTCACCACGCAGGTTAGTGCTCGTTGGTGGAGTGATGCGTCCGGGATCGGTTCAGGGTATCTATAATTCGCCGCTGATGTTAGCCGAGGTAGGGAATCGAATTCAGGGCCGCCAGGTCTACAGCCTGGTGCGCTAACCACTAGAAAATACCAGTCACACCTAATATGAAGCACCCATTCATCGCGATACTAAGTGCTTGTTTACCCAGTAAACATTAGTTCATTGCAATAATACTTCCTTGCAAAGAAATGCTATTTTACTATGTTGATAAATACGGTAGCGCGCACGTGTTGTGTGGGGAACGAGCGAGTTTTTTTAGTCTACGCATCCACGTACAGTACACATACGGTAGATGAGCATATGACTGGGATTCGTGAAAAATGTTCCGAGAGCGATGCACGACACACTCCAACTCTTGAATATCGTTGCGCGAGGCGAGGAAACGCAGAGAACCGGGAGAAGAGTCGCACGCAAGGGAGGAGAACGCTTAAAATCGCGCTTGCTTTAACAACCTGCTGGCCGCACTGCCTTCCGCATCTAATCTAATCGGAAAACAATGCGACAGTATAATTGACATCGGCTGGAAAACAAACTCAACGCGACTTTGTGTGTGTGCATACAGCTATATGGATTATATGTATTGCCAGTCTTTCACTTTTCTCTCATATTATCCTTTTATAATGTTTTGTTCCAACCCAGGTCTCTCTTGCAGAAGACAATTAATGGTCTCAATGTGTCTCCCCCGGTACAAAGTGCTGCCTGTAATTATGTTAGACCTCCCCCCCGCCCATTCCCACCCTTTCACCCTCCACGAAAATATAATTGACCACTACCACCACCACGATACCACCACAATTAACATTAGCCTTGGGTTAGCATGCGAACTGGTCAAGTCCACAGTAAGGGGACTTACAACGCTGGCACGGCGAGTTACGATCGCTTCATTGACATGACTACCGCCTGAGCACCGATTATCACACTCAGATCGATGATTAGACTCCCACCGATTACATTATTAGACTCTCAATCCCGCCTGCTGTGCACTGCGAGTCGGCGCGACTCGTCAAGAGGGAATCCCGTGTGGTCACCTGGAAAGACGATAAACTATGTTTTTGTTATTTTCTCAGGTAAGGCACACTGAGCTACATAGCTATTTTACAGAAGCGACCCGGCCATCACAAATGATAGCCCAAAGAAGCGGCTCATCGTCATCAACATCACGTGGAGATGTATGGCAGCAGGCACATACTCTGAACACGTGATGTTGATTTTAAATGCGGAGGTAAAAGCCGGAGGACCCGGAGAAGAATCCACGCGACCACGGGGGGAGAGAGAGAACACACAAACTCCAAACATAGAGCTGGCGTTTTAGAGTCGGGATCGAACCCACGACCTCCTGCATACCAGGCGAGGTCGTTAACATCTCCCCGCCGTGTAATTCCGTTACCATGAGAATCGGCCGTGTAAATAACGCAGTATAATATAAGCCAACGTTTTTGGGCAGTGGTCCTTATTCAGGGTAGACACGTGACGACGATAGCAACACGCGCTTGCAATTCCGCGGTTTTAATAGTTCGTGTTTTCGGTTCAATATAAAAATAAGATTGCATGCTGCTGTAAATCTATCTTTCATAGCGGACATATAAATATAAAATCCCGTACAGACCTCATTGTAAATCAAGGGCATGATTATAATGGTGATGGTGACTGATGATGTTTGGTGACTGATGGTTGATGATGGTGGACGATGGTGGATGATGATGATGATAGTAATATAGACATGGTGTTATAATTCGATGGCACAGATCAGCGTTTGAGTCTTGTGGACTGATTCTCACACCGCGCCGTGGGTTCTTACAACAACCCCTAGACCGTGGTCAAAACAGTGGATAAGTTTAGTCAATTAAAATAGCATCCACAAATTACAATTAACTACTTGAAGAGCATTGATGTGTTTTTATTATCCATACACTGTTTTTTTTTCGTTACAGCAGCACGCGTAATCAACACCACGGGAGAGTGGAGGATCGCAAAACTGAATCATTCCCTTGGCTGTCGCGCTCGGAACCCGCAGGCGCATGGATGAGCGCGTCACCCCCCTCCCCACCCCCCTGTTAATATTAATTAATCAATTAACATCTAACTCAAGCAATTAATTAACACGCGCTCGTTAAGATTGCTACATCGTCACGCGTCGGACCGCGAGAGAGGGCGACGGCTGGGGTAGGCCTTCATCCAGCAGTGGATCAATCACGGCTCACGGTGAATATGTAAGTACAGTGTGTACGTATGTTGAACTTCTTTCGCACCGTACGTAGCCAACCGCAGGTGCGGGGGTGAAAGGGCAACGGCCTCAACAGCAATATGGACGAGGACTTTGTGTCCCCATATTCAGTGTACGTGTTGCTGTTGAGTGTGATCCGCCACTTTTGCAGGTGTCTATGATGGTTGACGCTCACTCAGCCACTGCTGTGTCGACGGGAACCGTTGTTCCTTGTGCACAGCCTCTAGAAGTGGAAATCTATATTAAAACAATCTAAATCATGATGGTTGACAGTGATTCATTTCAGCCGGAATAGTCAGGAAACGCTCTCACAGGAATTATTTTGGAACGACAAATTCAACTCGCATTATTTTCTCCTCAGCATATGCATATTTTTTTAAAGATTCAACCCGTTCATAGGAATAGAGCGTACAATAATACAGGATTACTTTGGATAGACGTACCTTGTAATTGAGTGGCAGTGCCTTACGCACGCTAATGCGTACAATATAGCAGCGTTCCGGAAAATATCGAGTGAGAAATTAATCGTTGACGATCGACCACAATGAATGATGACGGGATGATAATTACGCAATCAAATGAATAAACGAGGACTTACGTATCGCAGCCACCAGCCCCGTGTCGGACATAGCAGCTCTGAAATCCAGGTAGCAGTCGGGAGAGCGTTCGCCCACAGCGAGCGCTACGCGTGGAGTAATTCCAAACTCCTAACAGCTCTCGGCACGATGCAGCCCTCCCTGACCCAACCTCACAATCGCCACCTCAACACCCACCCATGAACGACTTCTTTCCAAGAGACGCCGACGCCACCGCTGCGAGCGTGGGTCGCGTGTGTTGAGTGAGCGTGAGTGCGAGGACACGACCCAGACGGGAGTATTCCCCGGCCCCCTCCTCCTCCTCCACCGCCTCCTCCTCCACCGCCTCGCTCACTCCGGGGCGGGGCGTGGAGGCAGCCGACGCGAGGGAAATCCAGCCCCGACCCAAGCGCGCACTCCCATTGGTCGGCTTTACGTAAATATTAATTAGGTTAGGGGTGTGGGGGGAGGTGGCTCATGAAGTGACTCGCCCCTAACCCTCCCCACACACCTCCCGAACGATGACATAAGGTTCACGTGCGCGCGTGCGGATGAGCGGCGCGTGTGTTGTGTGGTGCAGGCTGTGTTGTGCGTCGTTCCGGCCTTCATAGGTGCTACTCGCGAAGAGCACTTGCCCCAACGGCCTGTTGCGGCTACACGCAGGATCTTTGTCTTTGTTGTTGGCCGGGCGTGGTGCTGACCACCCACCCCTTCTCGTGTGCTCGCTGACAGCACTTGCCCCAAAAAGGCTGTAAAGGCTATACGGGGGATCTTTGTCTTGGGTCTCAGAACACACGAGTTCGATTCCAACTCACGGCCAACATCAGTGACGAGTAATGTGAAACGGTCCTGGGCCTTCCTTAAGTCGACTCAGCTTCAAACGAGTACCTGGTGCGATGTGTAAACATCACAAATTATTATATTGATCACGCGACCAGGTATAATTAATCACATAAATGGGAAGCTACTCATTCCCCCTTGCTGCAGCCACAGCCTGGAACTGTCTTCCCCCAGCCATCTGTGTTGTCGAAACCCTGTCACTGTTTAAATCCAGGTTCAAGACCTCCCTCTTCACGTCTGCCTATGACTGACTGTCTCCTTTTCCACAGATTGTCCAGTCGGGGCGGGTAAGAAAGTTACAACAACAAACGATACAAAATACGATAGGAGTGCAAAATATAGGAAACGTAAGACGATCACAAACAATAAGTAAATAAAATAAAGTATAGAAGTGCAATATTGCATAAGTCCACCAATTTCCAAGTTTGGGCAAGGCAGCAAAACAACCGCAAAAGCCGTCCCAGACCACACCAAGACAACACACAGCACCCTCAATACAATTGCACATTAAAACATCTACCTCGCCCTGTTTATATGATTGTGGTTATGATTGTACTTTATTCATCCTTAATCTCTGCCATTACGAACAATGAAACAAGAAAAGGTAAAAAAGAAAAAAAACAGATTCGTAATACAATACACTATTAGACATTATTGTAAAAAATAAAATAAAAGTCCATCCCATGTGTTCCTGAATTTTTTAATATTTTAGGCAGGAAATTAGTTTTCAAATTTAGATTTTTTTCGGTCCCCCCCAATGTTGACTCCATGGCTACGGCCTTACCTTATATTCTTGATCTACTTGATCTATTTACGTATGTATGATTTTAGTTATTTGCTTTCCTTTGCTATACTTTGCACTCTGGTCGTTTCTTACACTGCTTGTTGTTGTTAGAACTTTCTCCACCCGCCTCTGCTGGACCTGTGTGGGAAAAGAGCGTCGCAGCTGATCGCATGCATCCAGGATAAAAATTCTGATTCTGTTACAGGAACCGGTCCTTAGACCTCCTCCACTCCACCACCTACAGGAGCAGATCAGAGACGCTACGTTCAACGATTGTCTCCAGGGGATTAAGTACTGTATATTATTCATACACTTATTTTCTCTGAAACATGATACTTGAGTTATTCTGACGTAGGTAGGTGGAGGGGGACGTGAACAGGTAGGTATGGAGTCGAGGTAGGTAGGTAGGTAGGTCAAACTGTCGTTAGAGATCAAACGGGAGGAAGATCGTCAGCCATGGTTTATTCACTGCTGAATGAAAGCCTCCCCAAGCTGTTGCCACGAAGCAACAATCCATCAATCGTAGCCGAGCGCTGGTGGCTCTGCACGTGGCTGCCTGTGACTCAGCGCCGTGGAGACAGCGACGGCGGTTTGGTGGCTCGCACAAAAGTTGCGAAACTTCCATCCCGTGAGCGTCCAGGAGGTGCCCGTCCCTGGGCTCGCCAGGAGAACGCGGTCCAGCAAAGTACGGACTTCATGTCATCTACTTTCCTGCTGCATGGGATAGAGTGTTGTTCCCTCGCACGCGCGGGTCTTCTCCGGGTGCTCGTGAATCGGCTCAACGACATCTTCTCAATCCGTGCGCGGCGTCGTGTGTTGAGGATTACGCAACGGCGTGTGATGATGCAATTGCGTAAATGACGCGGCTATGAGTACGAACGCCATCGGATTTGAGGTTGATGTTATTGTTATTATTGTCAAGCGCCTGCAACACGAGCTCATCTCATCGCGGCGGAATTCTTCTCAGCCACGTGTTCCACTTCGTGCACGCGCGAGCTAGTTCAGGGCCTGGCCTGACTGCTGTGACGCAGGAGATTCCCTGGGTTTGATCATCCACGAAGCTCATGGTCAATCCTAAGCCACAACCACTGCACGAACCATGGCATATGCGGATACCTGATGCACAAATTGAACGTTTTAAACAACTCTCCAGTAGAAGCGGTGCCACTGTGCTCATACAGAACGGACCGTGCAACGTATAATGACGCAATGCACCGATGCACAAATATACGAAGGGAGACATCGCTGCGATGATACACCACTCCGCTCCTCCTGACGCGGTTGTCTGGCTTGGCCACTTGAATTGTGTCAATTGCAGTTGTTGCTCTGCATCGCCGTCAGCAGCCGTACGGCAACAAAACAAGTAGGGGGGTGGGGGGGCTGGCTCAGTCCACGAGGTTCGCGGAGACTCCGGGAGCGGCAGAATGCCACGTGGGACCGCCTTATCCATTAGCGACCGAACAAACACAGCCCCGCCCACCCACCCCGTTATGGGAGCCCTCTTTTGTGTGAGGTCCGGTTAAATTGCCCCCCTTTGCCCCCCCCCCTCCTCCTCCACGCACAGCCCACCTCTCTGGGCGGTCCTGGCTACAATTACCATTTACGCATGGGCGCACACAGGTACACAAACACATACACGCAAAATAAATGTCTACTGACCACTCCATTCATTGCTCGCTCGTATATTGTATTGTGTGGCAGTAGTGGTAGTGGGGTGCGTGTGTGAGTCTTTGTGTTTCACACACACACCGCTGCATTACCGGGATCGGTAGTGTAGCGGTTAGCGCGCTGCGCTACGAAACCGGCGACCCACGTTCGAGTCCCGCTCGCAGCCAACACCAGTGACGATGATCGAAACCGGTCCTAGGCCTCCCCTAGGTCGACTCAGCCTAAACATTGGTACCTGGTGCGGTGTGCAAACATCGCCACTGGGGAGACAAAGGCGGCCGGGTGTGCTGAAGGCCACCCACCCCCTCGTGTGCCGTGCTGCCAGACGAGGGGGTGGGTGGGACACGTGCTCGCTAACAGCACGTGTCCCAACAGTCTGTTGCAGGCTACACGGGGGACAATTTGTCTTTGTGATTTTTTTGGTTTCTCTTTTTGTCAAATAATAAAGGTCGTCGTGATGCCGTCTCCGGGGTCTGTGGCTTCGCGCGCCCCCCCCCCCGCCGCCCCCTTTGTCCGCCACACGCACGGGGGGCCGAGTCGCCTTGTCAGCGGGTGATTTGTCAACCAATTTTCAAGTGGCCAGAACACAACACACACACACAAAAACACGCGCGCGCGTAGATATGCGTTGCCCGAGGGGCACAGCCACAAGCGCAGACGGACGCACGGACGGGCGGACGGATAGTGTGAAGAGGAAAATCTCCATATATATAAAAGGCAAAGTTGTGAATATGTGTGTCTGTTCAAAATGTTTAGCCTACATCCCGACATGCAACAAACTGGACATTTGCCATGTGGGTACTTTCCAGACTGTACACCATGCAAACATTATAAAAATAAACTTTTTTGGGGGGGGGGGGGGGGATTTAAATAATGCATGTCATTTTTTGCTCGGCAAGTGAGCTGTGACGTCAAATCTGTCACGTGACCCGCGCATGTGGAAGCGTAACGCATTGTAGTGTCGCGGTTAGCGCGCCACGCTACGAACCCGACGACCCGAGTTCGATTCCCTCTCACGGCCACCACCGGTGACGATTATTTGAACCGGTCCTGGGCCTCCCCTAGGTCGACTCAGCCTCAAACAATTAACTGGTGTGGTGTCTGAACATCACCACTGGGGAGACAAAGGCGGCCGGGCGTGGTGCTGGCTACGCACCCCCTCGTTAATAATAACGAAAACTCTGTCTCTATCCGGAGGAGACAAAAAAATAGTGCCAAAATACGGGACGTACCCATTGGGTGGAGCGGTTGCGCAGAACTGTTTATTTTATTTTACCAGTTAAGGTCCACTGAGCTATATAAATCTTTTTTAGAAGCGACCTGGCCATCACAAATGATAGCTCAACGTTGTGGCTTTATCGTGCGGAAATGTATAGCAGCCATATAACCTAAACGCGTGATGTTGATTCCACACGACCGCGGGGGGAGAGAGACACTACAAACTCCAAACATCCAGACGCCAGGGTCGGGATCGAACTCACAACCTCCTGCATACCAGGCGATGGAAATAACATCTTGCGTGGTTAGCGCTATGAGCGAAATGTGAACCGCTCATCCTCGCCACCTCAACTACCGCTTCACCGACTCACACCAATCAGCCTGGTGAAATATGGTCAAACATCCCCATCGATTGGGCCGGCATCCGGAGACGTTTATCCAACTTTGTATTTACAAGGGGCTGTACATTATTATATTGTTAAATGTATCATCGTTACTACCCAAAAGAAACGTCGCCCAGGCACTCCTCTTTCAGGAGTGTCTCGCTACGTAGAGATGTTTTGGGATTTTAGTGGGAGTTTGCCTGTGGAGGGGGGGGGGGGGGTGGCACTCCGCACTTCCATCTCTTGGCCACACCTCGCAGCCCCACGCCTACACCACCTGGCAAGCCCCGGTGATCCACACATCCAAGTACTAGCCAGGCCCCCAGCCCGCTTAGTTGTCAAGGTCCGGTGAGATCGGGCACGTTGAGAGTGATCTCGTGTCATTGCCATTGATGCGAATGATGTTACGGTGTCTTTGGAG